AAGGCATTCAACACCTCTGGGGAGAAACACGCGTCATGAAGAACTGTTCGACGACGCCTGTGATTCATGGTGCTCTCCACCTCAGACCTGGTGGCGGACAACCTGTCGGCATCCTCCGTTGGAGGAGCATCCGTCTCGCGCCTTGCGCTCGCCTCCCCCTCCGGACCAGGCGTTGGAGCCTGGCTGGCGGAGGCTTGGTTGGCAACCTCTCCGGGCTCAGTCCGGCGAGCGCTCTTTCTCCTGGAAGAATCATGAGTATTAATAGGAGTCTTTCCCTTAAAATACAATGGTGCGCCATACCTTTGCAGCGACATTTCAATTCGCGCCGCACTCCTCTTCCGCCTGCTGGGCCGCACTGACCCTGGTTGGTCAGTCGCCGCGGGTTCGGCTTCCCGCCGTAAAGGCACCTCCTGTGAAGCACCGTTGGTACACGGTGGTCAGAAATAAGCATTAAAAAAGTAACGGTGTTAGGACTTCGGTCGTACTCACCTGGGAAGCCGGAGATAAACCGGGGTAGTCAGCCGTAATGGCGACTAGAGCATTGTCTATGCTGAGCTGGTGGAACACCCCATCAATCAGTTCCACCATTATGTCCGGATCCTCTCCCGAGGTCGGATCAAGGGATCTTCCCGGATCCTCGGGTTGTGGAGTCGGGCTTTCTATGCCCTCCACATCCCGACGCAGTTCCTGCGTCGAAATCATAAAGTAAGACACTTATCTTTGAAAGCACGGATCGGATATATAAACGTCCGCTTACCCAGCTCCGAGGGTTATTCATGGAGAATCCATTCAATGGACTCGTGCGGAGGAAGTCCTCCTTCTCCCCCTTGTACAAGCCGGACAGGATCTTCATCAGATCGGCGGCCGATCCCGGCCCCTTGCGGCCATGACGGGTGGCGTCATTCTCCCCGTTGAAATCCCACATGGGGTGGCTCCTATATTGGAGCGGCTGCACCCCTCGCATAATGCATGTGGCCATGACTCCAATCATGGTTAATCCGGAATGGACCAGTAACCGTATCCGGCCCATCAGATATTGGACGCTCCTATCATCTTCCCGTTGAGGGCTCTGCGGGCGCCAACTCAGGCGTTTCTTTAGAGGAGCGTTGCTAAACTCCGGGAGGCCGATCCGAACTGGATCCGGCAGCGGGGCGTCTTCCATATAGAACCACTCCGAAGGCCAGTCTTCGGACGCCTTATTCGGGGTTCCGGATAGATATCCGGTCCCGGCGATGCGCCATAGTTCGGCTCCGCCCACTTGATATATCGACCCCTCGTGAGAACGGGGTACGAGGCAAAACAGTCTCTTCCACAGCGCAAAATGGGGCTCGATGCCCAAGAACAGCTCGCAAAGAGCTACAAAGCCCGCGATGTGTAAAATGGAGGCAGGTGTAAGGTGGTGAAGTTGGAGTCCATAGAACTCTAGGAGCCCCCGGAGAAACGGATGTATGGGAAATCTGAGTCCCCTTATTAAGTAGGGGACGAAGCATACCCTCTCTCCTTTGGAGGGATTGGGGACGCTCTCCGCCTGCTTCCCACCCTTGTAGGTGGCCAGTCCGACTCGAACCGGAACCATAAAGGCTGGGGGAAGGTATCCCTCTGCTTGGAGCGTCACTAACTCGCTATGCGGGACTGAGCATCTCCTCCAGTCTCCTGGCTGAGGACTGGGAGCGGAGAAGAGGAGCCGTGTCAACTGTCCATGTTGGAATGGATTTTTGTCAGATGCGCTTCGATGAGTACTTGCGGAAGGAGGATGGTGTGATTCGGATCTGGATCCCCGCCTCTCTTATAGGCGGCTTATTCACGCAGCTAGGGGGGGGTAAAATGTAAAAATACCCTGGCTTTTCGCATTCATACAACACGTGGAAGAGGGCCATTATTGGACGTGGCAGCCAAGGAGCGCAACATTTATGAAGAAACCAAACACTATTCGGCAAACACATGGAACATGGAGGGGAACCCGCCTTGCAAACGCCAAAGACAATATACGCGCCGGACTCGTCGTCATTGAAGCCTGGTTCGGGGGCTACTGAGGGAGTCCTGGACTAGAGGGTGTCCGGATAGCTGAACTATCATCATCGGCCGGACTCCAAGACTATGAAGATACAAGATTGAAGACTTCGTCCCGTGTCCGGATGGGACTTTCCTTGGCGTGGAAGGCAAGCTTGGCAATACGGATATGTAGATCTCCTACCATTGTAACCGACTCTGTGTAACCCTAGCCCTCTCCGGTGTCTATATAAACCGGATGGCTTTAGTCCATAGGACGAACAACAATCATACCATAGGCTAGCTTCTAGGGTTTAGCCTCCTTGATCTCGTGGTAGATCTACTCTTGTAATACCCACATCATCAATATCAATCAAGCAGGACGTAGGGTTTTACCTCCATCAAGAGGGCCCAAACCTGGGTAAAACATCGTGTCCCTTGTCTCCTGTTACCATCCGCCTAGACGCACAGTTCGGGACCCCCTATCCGAGATCCGCCGGTTTTGACACCGACATTGGGCGAACTCTCGGGCAGTAACCCTACCTCATCTCCTTGAAGTCTGTGAAATCTTGTAGGTGATAGCTCATATGTGTGAAGGTTTTCTCATGAAAATGACCATAGATCAAATTTATGATTTTTGATTAGTAACATGTCACATAAGACAACATTGTGCGTAGGTTTCATATTTTTTTGATTTTTTAAAATTAATGGTGCTCATTTGACCTCGATCGTGCCAGCTAGGGTTTTTTCATAAAAATGACCATAGACCAAGTTTAATATATTTCCTCGTTAGTGTGTCTTATAAAACAACGAACGGCGAAGGTTTCATATTTTTCGACTTTTTCTAAATTAGTTACGCTAAGTCAAAGCTTTCGTAACCCCGTTGACCAGCTCAAAACCCCTCTAAACCCCGCGGGGTTTCGCCTAACCCTAGCTCCGATCGTCAGTCGTCTGATCATACCCTGGCGCGAAGCCACAACCCTCAGATGTGGTCTTCTGGAAGGAATTCAGGCTGCGTGCAGGCTCCGGGCCGTTGGATCACAAGGACGGCTCTGCATCATTGGATCGTGGGGCGATCCGCGAGAAGCGATCCTGTTGGTTGTGCTCGGCTGCTCGTCCACCACTGACTCCGCGAAAAAAACCGTTGTTATTGGGCCCAAAAAGAAACCAAGCTCTGGTTGGGCCGTCGAATTGCATTTTTTTTGTGAACGTGCTGGCTCTGTTTTTTGTGAACGTGTTGGCTCTTTTTTTGCATCGTTTGAAATTACACAACAATTGACACTGCGTACGAAATTAAGTTCTTTTTTTCTATACAAATGCAAAATGACCAAATTTATAAGGGCTAAATTTATATAATGGCCACAAGCCCTCTATCTTTTTTTATCATGCAAAATGACCAAATTTCTAAATTTATTTTTATCATGCAAAATGGCCACAAACCCTTCAAAAATTGTCTCTTTTTGTTCATATAATATATATATGACCACGGATTCCCATATGTGCAATTAGCTTCTTTTTCTTCTTATTTTCAAACCACCGTTTTCCACACGTGTACACTCTCGATGTTGCGGTGGGTTTGACAAATGGGCTACTAACTTCACATTTGACCTCATTATTGCCACGACCAAATAACACGTAGAACTACGGCTATTTAAGCCACACTCTGCCTCTGCCATCTCCCACCCTCTGCCTCTGCCATCCCTCATCCATCTGCCCTTCTTGCTCTTCGACCCCTTCTCCTTCTTCTGCACATCCCTCAGCAATGCAGTACATCGGACCAACCTACCGCTTCCCACCCACCGTGTCGGAGAGGCTCTACCCTACCGGCGTGTACGTTGATCGCACACTACGTGTGTGGGCGATATCAAGTCTGAGGGCCGCAAGGAACTTCACCGAGTTCTTCCTCGCGTCCGGCTACCACCACCTCCCGAGGGGATCTCCAACGATGTTCCGCGTCGAGGAGGTCATCCAAAACCAGGTGGTGGTTGCTCTCCTTGCCCACTTCACCAACACATTCGACGCCTTCTACCTCCTCGGCCGGGTGTTTTGGTGTGGCCCCAAGTTCATCGCTTTCACCACCCACAACAGGTTCACGGAGTACACCAACATCTTTCCCACCGCGATGCGCATGCACACTCTTCCGTACCCCATCGACAACGCCCCGAAGGAGTAGTGAAAAGGGCGCCCGGAGGAGGAGCAAGGTGGAGAAGGCGGCGGCTAGGGTTCTAAACGCTCTATCTTCCTTTTTTTAGTCAATGTTATGTTAAGTTGTAATTGAACTATGTTGGAGTTGCTATGGGCTTGTTGGCTTAAGTTTTCTATCTATTCTATTATTAAGTTCTTTCTAGTTTGAACTATGCGATCGTGCTATGAGCTTGTTGGCCCTATCTACATATTGGGACTACAATTTGTTGATTGTTTTCTTAGAGAGCTCGACTTGTTAGTAGGGTTCCCTTGTTAGTAACCACCTAGCGCATGCAAGCAAGCTTTGTTAGTAGGGATGAATGAGTAGAGCTAAGAAAGGGAGTGACTCTTTTTTTTACAGAAGCCACAAATATGTAGCCACCTAGCTAGAAGAGAGGAACCAGTGGCAGTGACCGTCGCTGCATCCGTGGCGGCTGGCGTGCAAGAAAGCTGCTCGGTCAATGCATTGTGGCGGACGCATCGGCGCATGCATGCTCGGTCGGCGCATTGTGGGATCGTGGCATCGGTGCATGCAGGCTCGATCGACGCATGCAGGCAGGCTTTGCTGGGTGCATGCATAGCAGTCTTCTGTCCTGGCGACGCGCGCAGACGTTTAATGCAAGGGATGGTCCAACGGTCGAACAACGACACCACCCAATGCGGCCCCACTTGTCAGGTCGAATGGACGACACAGCCCAGCGTGACCCCACTAGTCAGAGTTAACGGTCAAGCTTTTGACCGGACGTCAACGTCTGTTATGCCCAGTTATGAGGGTTTCTCACAAGGGAGTGGAGAAAATTGAGCAAAAATTAAGAGTGCGGAGATGAATGAGTAGAGGGAACCAGCGAACCTTAGGCCGAACTGAACAGCAGAGGAACAAACGAGAATACAGCATTTCAAAGCTTACGCATGCTAAGTTCAAAAAAAGCTTACGCATGCTCTCCCCCGCCGCCGCCGTTGTAGCCGCCGTCCGCGCCGCGGGCGGGTCACCGACGGCCGTACGCCGCGCCCACGCGCGTCTCCTCAAGGATGGCCTGGCGCTGCACCCTCCCGCGCCGTCCCTTCTCGTCTCCGCCTACGCCAAGTGCCGTCTCCTCCCCGACGCCCGCAGGGTGTTCGACGAAAGCCCGCGCCGGGACCTCCACCTCTACTCGTCGCTCCTCACCGCCGTCTCCAACTCCGATGCTCCTTACCTCGTGCTCCCGATCATACGTCGCATGCTCTCTGCTGACGTCCTCCAGCCCGACCACTTCGTCCTCGCCTCCATCGCCAGCGCCTCCGCCAGGTTGCGAAGCCTCAGTCTTGGTAAGCAGCTCCATGGACACTTCGTTGCTTCCCCGTATAGCGGAGACGATGTCGTCAAGTCTTCTCTGATCGATATGTACTGTAAATGTGGTTTTCCGGATGATGCCAGGAAGGTCTTTGATAGTATGAGTGCCAAGAACAACGTCGTGTGGACTGCACTTGTTTCTGGGTACGCGTCGAACGGCTATACTGATGAGGCGCTGGAGCTCTTCCGGAGCATGCCTGGACGCGGCCTCTTTGCATGGACTGCGCTCGTATCAGGATTTGTAAGAGCTGGCGAGAGTGTTAGCGCGGTGGAGCTGTTTGTTGAGATGAGGCGGGATGCCATCACTATTGATGATGCATTTGTGTTGTCAGCTGTAACTGGTGGGGCTGCTGACCTGGCTGCGCTTGTTCTGGGTAGGCAGTTGCATGGTTTGTCCATGAGGCTTGGGTTCTTGTCCAGCATGATGGTTGGGAATGCATTGGTTGACATGTACTCCAAATGTAGCGATATACACTCCGCTAGAGAAGTATTTGAAGAGATTACAGTGCGTGATATCATCTCGTGGACGACAATGATTGTTGGAGAGGCTCAGCATGGTCGAGCAGGGGAGGCTTTTGCTCTTTATGACCGGATGATTCTTTCAGGAGTGAAGCCCAATGAGGTGACATTTGTTGGGTTGATCTACGCATGTAGCCACGCTGGTCTTGTTCAGAAAGGTCGGCAACTGTTTGACTCAGTGAAGCGGGAGTATGACATCAACCCTGGATTACAACTCTATACATGCTACCTAGATCTTCTTAGTCGCTCGGGCCATTTATCAGAAGCTGAAGAACTCATCACTACGATGCCATATGAGCCAGATGAAGCTGCTTGGGGGGCCCTCTTGAGCGCGTGCAAGAAACACAACGATGCTGAAATGTGTGTCAGGGTTGCTGATAATCTGTTAGAGCTGGGACCAAAATATCCTTCAACATGTGTCTTGTTATCTAATGTCTATGCAGTGAATGGCAAATGGGGGTCTGTGAGCACGGTGAGAAAACTCATGGCTAATATGAAGATAAATAAAGAGCCTGGGTATAGCTGGGTTGAAGTTGGAAGAGAATCTCGTCTGTTTCATGCTGGGGAAGTGCCGGTTGATATGAGAGAAGAAATTCTAGTTTTTCTCGAGGAATTAGTCTCGGAGATGCGCCGAAGGGGCTATGTCCCTGATACCAGTTCTGTGATGCATGATCTGGAGGAGCATGAAAAGGAGCACCATCTTTTCTTGCACAGTGAGAGGCTGGCTGTTGCCTTTGGAATCCTCAAGTCTCTTCCGGGGTCGGTGATCCGGGTGGTGAAGAACCTCCGGGTCTGTGGGGACTGCCATACAGTGATGAAGTTAATTAGTGAAATTTTCCAGAGGAAGATTATTGTGAGAGACGCTACTCGTTTCCACCATTTTGAAGTTGGGAAGTGCTCTTGTGGTGAATTCTGGTAGCAGAACTGATCTGCTGATGTTCAGTTGTGCCTCTAGTCCTCTAGGTATGGTCTAATATCTTAACTTTCCCATGTCTAAAGAAATCTGTACGGAATGGATGACCTTTTTCTATATGACTCAATTGATGTTTCAGTCTTAGAAAAAACAAAACCGTATTGTGCCTTCTCCTTGTATAGATGGGCCAACTAACAAGCGAGACTAATAGAAACTAGAATTGTTCATTTGTTGTATCCTATTGTTCCCAGCTTTATGTACCTCCTGGTAACAGATAGTCCTTTGGAGTAGCCTGGGGAAACTATAGGGTCATGTTGCTACATTTTTTTCCTAAAAATTCTAAACATTTTTGTCGGTGAATTCAAAGGTTATGTTGTCGGTGAATCATGTGTTTTTTTATCCTTCGTACTTGTCTGATCTGCTATTTTGCAACCCAGCTCTCCAATACTGTGGATATAATACTACTAGTAGAGCTTGGTGAAAGATTAGACTGAAGTAGCTAAGATTGAGAATTTCAAAGTAGATCTGTTGACTCAGGTACTCCAATTTTTTCTTTTTCTTTTTAGAAAAGATAAACCCCAGCCTCTGCATCTTGCGATGAACAAAGCCAAATTTTATTAAGGTTCCACTATCAAGCTCCAGTTCTGAAGTACAAGAAAGACAAAAAAACAAGCCAGCAAAAAATTGAATATATGCCTACACACATAGCCTACTATTGAACCGTCACCCAAACCGGTTGTACGTATCCCGTGCTACCATCTCCCATTGGTTGCACCGTGTTTTAATCCATCGACACAAAGTTAGACACAATGGATCCGAATGGGTTATAAAAATTGGAGATGTAGGATTTAAGGTTCTCTTGACCAACAATGGTGCCCTCATCTTGTTCAAGCTGAACAATTGTCTTCTTTCTATGCTACCTGTTTGCAATTAAATGGAAAAAACTGGGTGTTACTATCACCTTCCAGCACGTCCCTCACTTTGGCACTTTGACTAATGGGTTGGCTAAACTTGTTTCTTTACCTTATTACATGCCTACATAACAAGTTTGATGCCACCCCAGTAGAAGAGTTTTATGTTTGTGGACAACATAGGATACCATTTTTTTTTCAACAGCGGTGATTCTGAGATCTTATCTTGTTCCGCGAAATGACTACTGAAAATACTTGAACTATTAGAGAATAGAAGGATACCAAAACTTCAACATGTTTATGTTGATGACTGACGGTGCCGGGATTATTAGTGCATCCAGCTCTGTCAGCGACTTTTAGTAATCAGTAAACACAAAGCAGCAAGTTGCTGTATTTATCGTAGTACATAATTTTGTGACGAAAGGGAGGATTGGAGCAAATCATGAACATCGGGCAGCTTTAATTGCAGAGGGGAGGGCAAGAGAAGGGGGGGGGGGGATTCATTACGGTCTCACCTTCCATGAAAAAAGGTAAAACGCTGCTTTTGATAAGGTAAAAAAGAGTGGAAGAGACGAATTGTCTAGTGGAGGCCCATGTGGTAAACTTTAATTAACCCCATGCACATGGCCACCCTCTTGTTAAACACAACCCAACCCTGCCTTACTTGTTGCCATCCTATAGAACCATGGATGGACCACGCCTTAAATATTTCTGTCAAGCAGCACTTAACAACTCTCTGACCATGATGCCAAGCCAACAGTTACCTCTTAATAACTTAACCTACAGCTTCACAAAAGGACATGGGGTGTGCACTGCAGCACTGGTAACAGTTCACCAGAAAGTTTCAGTTTTCTAAGCATTAACTGTTGCAATTACCTTTACGTCCATCAGTCTCAGATTAAATATTTGCGGCATACGCGTCCTACATGGTGAGCCCTACTCCTCCTCCCTCTCTGGTCTCCTTTTCCTCTTTGTGTCAATTCACAAATCCATTTGGTAGACAAGCACACAACCTTTGCTTTCCCTGTGCAGGTTTGTTATTGTAAAGGAAGCAGCAGCAATTCCTTGTTCCATGCTGTGCCTCATCATGGCTTCTTTCTTCTTTAGCATCGCTGCATCATTTGGGCCACTAAAGCTCTTCCTGCCCTTGTGATTGTGAGCAAGTTCTTGATGCTTCCCAGATCCCAAATGGCCATACAACTCACGCTTCTACTCATTTCGTGTAGCCTTTACAGTATGTATTCCTCTTCTTCTTTCTCCACGTCCTCCTCTCTTGCATTGCTGGTGCTGGTTATCTCCACCTGCCTCTCCTTGCTCTTCTCGAACCTCAGACAACTGATGAGAACCAGCAGCCACAAAACTTCCATGGAGGTGGTTGCTCATCAGGAGAAGAGCACTGTGCCACAAGATGAGGTGTCCGAGGATGCGCCGGTGGATTCGGCTGGAAGCCTGTCAGGGTCGTCAGATTGCCAGGTGAGTGAAGAGTGGACTGATGAAGTCTCGGTGTCTGACGACGACGACGAGAGTCTTATTGAGATCTCCCTTGTTGATGGGTACTATGTGGGGCAAGAGGAGCAATGCCTCTGGAAGAAGGAGCAAGACCTCCTCGTTGACTTCCTGCCGGAGTTCGTTCTCGACAGGAGGGACTTCATAGACATCTTGTCGGAGATCGGTGAGGAGGAAAACATGATCGAGATTGACATTGCAAGGGGCTCCATCAAGTGCGCAAACTTCAGCGTCAAAGCATGAGCTTTGCAGAGGTTTGGTGAAGTTAAAATCATTGTATGAATTGCTCCGGAGCTTTCGTCGGGGCAAGGGAGTAGTAGTAGGTTGTACTACTGGACTACATGTGGTTTATTGCCTTGCCTTTTTTTCACAAAGAGCTCAGTTTTCATTAGTGATTCTTCAGTGGAAGCCTTGCTGCATCTCTTTTCTTGTGCTTTCTGAATGTTACTAGAGAAGAAATAAAGCGCGTGCACATATTTTGCTCGAAGATATTTAAGGAAATAATATGCGTGTGCATGGCCCTTCTTTTCATACCTAGTGTTTTAGACTTGAGTAGATTCTAATAATTATGTTAGGGCTAGCATTATCAATCTCAAGGTGGGGTATACTTAAGTTACTTTATACAGGTTAGTGCACTATACAGGACCTCATTGCAATTAAAAAACTGAACATGAATTGTAAGCTACTTGATGTGGTTTTAGAAATTAAGCTCAACCTTTTGTCATTCTGAATCAAAAACTCGGCACATGGTTCAACAGTCTAGAATAATCGGTCTTTTAGTTTGTGCAGCTGGATGCTTTTAGCGGCTGATGTTTGATTTGGAAAAAGGCTCTGAGATCATCATGATTTGCACCTCTATTAGTAGCTTCTAGTGCTGTTCATAACAAATGTAGTTTTGGGGATCCCTTGTTTATTGGAAGATACTGAGAAGATAGAGGAAAACATTTTAGCGTACTACTGTTTTTGGGGTTTAGGTAGCTGAACAAAAGATACACGGGAATGCTTATTTTAACTCCACTTTGGATTCTTTCTCCTTGTTTTAAGTACAAAAATCGAAGATAATGAATGTGAACATTTTTTTATCTGACATGCTGACACTTGACACTTGAGATAAGTGTGCACATGCCTCCATTCACTGCTGGAAACAGGCAATTTCATGATTAACTAGCGGCTAACGCTCACCTTGCCGCGCCGTTTTTCACATATGATACTCCCTCCGTTCCAAAATCTAATGCGCATAATGAGTATATTTTTTCTCACTTGTATTGCGGTTGCTGCCCTGTTTTTTGGGGTTGTTTTTTTCCTAGCTCTGTGTGCTCGGGATGTGATTGGCCTTTTAGTTCGGTAGCGAACCGGAGATACAATTGTCATATATCACCTGTAACGAGCAGTACGCACGAATCGTCCATAGGTACTTCGGCATGAGCCGGCTCAATGGCACTGCTATAGGCGTTTTTTTACTGGCATCCCCGTCTTTATGGCGGGGAGCTCCTATTAGGCCAGGAAAGCTCTCCCTGGCGCCCAAGCAACAACCCTGGTGGCTGACCCATTAGAGCGAAATCAATTGAATTAGAAAAACCGAACATAATAAATCATAAAACACAAAAAAATGTGAATTAAAAAATGTTCATAGATTTCAAAAAAATCATGATTTTGAAAAAAGTTCAGCAATTTTCATCGAATTTGAAAAAACTTCATCAAAAAAAAAATGTTCTCGTATTTTGAAAAATAATTCATTGAACTTGAAAAACTTCATTGATTTTGAAAAAGTTTATCAGTTTTTAAGAAAAATTCATCGAATTTGGAAAAAAATCTTGGATTTTGAAAAAAAAACAGTTCATTGATTAGAAGAGAAAAAATACGAATTTTAATAAAGTTCATAAAAAGAAAAATAAAAGAAGAAAGAATAAAAGGAAGGAACAATGCAACTAAACACATTTGGTTATTCGGCTTTGTGGTCACTGCAGCGCTCGTTGAGGCTGGCTCGTGGGTTCGAATCACTTATGGAGCACAGCTATTTCTCGCCTTAAGCGCGCTGCAGGCTAGACACCAATAGGGCCGGCACATTCACTATTTGTCCTCATTTTTTGTTTGGTTTTCTTTTTTCTTCTTAATTTTTTGTTTTTTCTTATGTTTGTTTTTGTTTTCACTCTACATTTTCATATATGTCAAAAGCATTTTTTAATAAGTGATCAACATTTTTTATACATGTTTTCAACATTTTCGAAATACTTGTTCGACATTTTAATACTTATTCAACATTTTTCAAATACATTTTCTACATTTTTCTAATAAATATTCAACATTTTTTAATACTTATTCAACATATTCGAATACTTGTTCAACATTTTTAATACCTATTCAATACTTTCAAATACTTGTTAAAAAATTTAAATACTCGTTCAACTATTTTTAATACTTATTCAAAAAATTTCAAATACGTGTTCAACATTTTTAATAGTTCTTCAACATTTTTAAATACTTGTTAAACATTTTTAAATTCTTATTCAACCTATTTTAATACTATTCAACATTTTTTCAAATAATTGTTTAAAATTTTCAATTTTTTTGAAGAGTTATATATATGTA